ACAATATGAAAAAACCGTCTACAACACATCACGTACTGATCCATTACTGTATATGATAAAAAGTAAACTCTAAAATGAAATCAGAAATTTTATGCATGCTTTAAACTTCCAGTCTATAAAATGTGACTGAGCAGTCTTTACCTTTAAAAACAAACGATTTTCCTCTTTCTCCATCGCTGAATGAATTTATGTCTCATTTTCTTCTCTCCCTGTGAAATACAACAGCTATGGCTTTAGCTAGCATACACAAACTGCACATAACCCGTTTGTTTGTTTGCTGATATTTGTTGAGCCGTTTGAAAAAGCTTCGTTTATTCCGGATCATTCCGGCCCATTTCAACTCCATCAGCTCCATAGTGCAATAAATAATGTATAAATTAGGTATTCTTTGTCTCTTTCATCTCTGTGTCTTTTATGTCAGTCATGCGTAATAAGCCCTGATAATGGATACACCAATAGGATTGTCTTTTATATATTATTGTTCCCTCCATTTAGGTTCAATCGATTTGATGTTTTTAAAGTGCACAATAGTCCGGAAAAATGACTTCCATCAAATGTGTTGAATGTAAAGTAACAAGCTTGTTGTAAAAATGTAAAGAGTAGAAAGTACAGATATTTGTCTGAAAATATAGGAAGTAAAACTGAAAAGTTAATATAAATATTCAAGTAAAGTTCAGATACCTGGAGATTCTAACCTAATATTTGTACTTTATTACTCACCACATCTGGTTTTAAGCAAACAAGATGAAGTACACATTTTAGAGCATATGCAAATGAGTTCACTTGATGAGGTAAAGTTATTGGATGTCCCTAACTTTGAATATTTTACTGCTGGTATGTTGTAGCTGTGGAGGTTTTTGATTTTTCAGTGGTGAGACTATTGTGCCAGTTCGGAGTGATATTGAGCTTCCTTCATGATTCTGTCCTTTGGATGCTTGCTGGCTGGGTAGGTGTGAACAGCTATCCAAGTTTTCCCTCTCGTCTCTTTGTCTCAGTGTCTCTCGGTCTCCCTTTCTCTCTTTGATGTGTCAGTTGAGTAAGGCCGGAGTAGGGCAGGCAGCCATATCCATCAGCTCCATCCATCAAGCAGTGGGACGGGTGGCAGAGAGAGGATGACGGGCAGCAGAGAAGGGGCAGATGTTTTGCAGGAACTGATATGCTCTCACATCCATGAGGGATGTCATTACGCGGCCGACAGAGAAACATGTAGCTGATTAGCGCCTTATTAAGTCAAGGACACTGGCTCGCAGTAACATACACCGGTGCCATTTTGGCTTGTGGTGCTGATGGCTTGCCAGTCACTGACAACATGAGTGCCTCAGACAGATAACCTCTCTTTCTAATTAACTGCTTCTCTGTTCTTCAACTCCAAGTTCCTTTTTTGTCCATCAAGCAGCTCTGGAATAAAGCTTGCCATTTCAAGTATTATTTCCTTTTTCTTGCTCAAATGGAAGAACCCAGAGGTGCACGAGGCTTGTGGATTTCTCTCTGAGAACCACACTGTGTTGTGGTAAGTAAATAAACCAACGTCTCCCTGAGGGCGTGTAAGGATTGTAGGAACTGAGAAAAGTGGACAGTGCAGCTTTAGCCCTGATCCAGCACAGTGGCTAAAATGATAATGTTGAGAATCTCATCTGTGTCTTGTGTTTTCTCCTTTAGTCGGATCTTTCGAGTTGTCCTCTGTTTCCTCTCGACAATAAATCCTGCCATGTGTTGTTAGAAATATGTATTTACTTCAAATCACATTGGCTTTGTTCAGCACTCTCCTGTCATGGTCCTGGGCCATGTGGGCCCAGTATTCTTAGTTTTCATGTATTTTTGTATTTTGTTCTTTATTTAGGCCATGCTTCCAGGGTTGATCTGTTACGTTGTTCCTTATGTGTTTTCCCTTCGTGACTCTTACCCCCTGTGTGCCCCTCTGTGTATTTATGAGCCCTCGTCTCTCTTTGTGTTTTATTCTATGTTTTCCACAGCCCGTTATGTCTGCGTTCTCCCCGTGCTCTCTCTCCTCCTGTTTGAACCTCTGTGTACTTCCTACTTTACTTTGCCCATCTCCCATCAGTGTTACGTTCACTCCTGCCGTGTCTTGTTATGATTATCAGTGTCACCTGTGTTCCCCGTGTGCATCCACTTCCCCTGATCATCCCTCATGTGTATTTAGTCTCTGTGTTTCATACAGTCTGTGTCGCGTCGTCTGTGTTCCCACCCTCCATGTTTCCATGCCCAGTCTGTTGTATTCATAGCCTTACCTTAGTTCATTCCCAGTTTAGGTTTCTGTTTAGTTATTGCTTTTGAGCTGCCCTTATTCTTGTTTGTTTCTCTTGCGTTCCCAGCCACAATAAAAGGCTCGCTTTTGTTTAAAGTTTACTCCCGTGTCACTCGTGTCCGCACCTGAGTCCTCCACGCACTCTCCACACGGTCTGTCACAGCGGACCGTGACACTCTCCTTTGTTCTCTCTTTTCTTCTCCTGCCTCTAAGTTTTTATCAGCTGTATGTTTAATACACTATAGCTTGCCACATCATAAACTGCAGCGATGTGCGTCTGCATTTCATGTGTTTTGAGTGGTTAGAGCAATAAATGGGCTCAGGGTTATGAGAACAGTGAAAAATACAGGCAATGGTGGACTGGTTAATGGGCCTCAGGATGGCTTTACTGAAATGTAATACAGTTTCACCAACAGCACACTTTTATTTGGGAAAGAGAGATAATATTTCTTTGGACAGTGCTGATTAAATGTGTTGTGCAAGAGAAAAAATGAGTGCTACTGAAGAGACTAGCCACAGATATTAATCTAATTTTAGGAAACATGATTATTGAATCTGGACTTGTTTTGCCCATTTTTTTTCAATCATCCCCAAGGTACTGCAACATCAAGACCAACAACACAAGGAACTAAAGATGTCAGAGGATAATAGATGCTCCAACCTGACTAAAAAATGACAAATGACTAAAAAAATGACTAAAAAGAGAAAATGTGTCTTTTTTCTTGTGCGCTTGCAGTAAAATCTGCTGATTTTGGTCTGTGTGAAGGGAGGAGGACGGCGATTGAGGGGTCTATAACTTTCGGGGAATGGACATTACTTTTATTTTGTTGAATGCACGAAAAGACAGGTGATGCAAACTTCATCCATCACAGAAACAGCTACATTATTTTATTTTACCGTCAGGCTCAGTCACTGCTGATGAGTTCATAGTCTCAGACATTCATCTGAAGTTAGAGCCAAAAAGATGGATAATTCAGAGTATGGCTCAACATGACAAGCCTCCAGTCTGTGAATGTAAAGTTGGTGCTGTGGTGTCTTAGGTTTTAGTTGCACAGGCTTAGCACCATCTGAAACTACAGGTCATGACGGAAAAAACTTCCCAAACTGGATACAAATGGTTGCTGGTAGTCACTGTGAAATCAATTGCTAATGTCCCATTTATGCAGGCCTAGACTTGTCAGTGACCAGTAACCACTGGTTGATAGGAAATTAAATCTGCAGCCAGTTGGAGAGTGGTTGCTGGAGATTGCTGGCAGTCACTGGCGTAAAACTGGTTACAATAAAGGTACAGCATCAACAACCTCTGCAATCACTTTGGCCACCTGTAGTTTGCATACAGCACACACATCTTTTCAGCAGAAGGGCACAGCTTCCACTTTTAATTTCTGATTTTCACCCTGTAGTTTCACTACAGCTCAGAGAGTCAAAGGGAACGTATTTGCCATGGTGCACAAAGTTTTTGATGTAGCATGCTCTTTGCCTCTAATTTCACCTGGCAACTGCCACTAACCTCCAGCAATGTCATATGGTTGGGGAATCTGCATATTTCCCCTTTAACTGGATGTTGGCAGCAGATAGATGTTGAGTATGGTTTTGCTGGAAGTTTCTTCCTCTTGAAAATAAGTTTTTTTTCACACTGTTGCCAAGTGCTTGCTCATAGGGAGTCGTCTGATTCTTGGGGTTTTCTCTGTATTATTGTACGGTCTTTTTCTTAAGGTGACTGTTGTTGTGATTTGGTGCTATATAAATAAAATTGAAGTGACTCCACATATCTTACTTGCAGTCTATGGTTAGCTGAGGATCATAGACTACAAACCACTACTGAAAATTTATACTGTAGATCAGTGAAAGGCAAAAACATTGGTATACTTTTTTTAGTGCATTATTTGACAGTTGGGTAATCACAGTTTTCCAATGTGCACACTGACACTTTAACTTCCAAATAGAGTGGCTAAGGTGATCTATTTAAACTGCTTGTTTCATTTTAAACTTTGCTGAACAAAGAAACCATTCCTGAGAGAAATGATGGCAAAAACTGCAAGTTGAAAAAGTCCACCCAAACGTGTCATTTGCATTATAAATAACGAGCCATTATAAAGGGAGCTGTGCCTTATAGTGTTTTCCCTTCTCTTCACTTCCTACTTGCTGCTCTCAGTTATCTCTGCCTTTGGCTGACTGTGGGAGCTGACTTGCTCTTGATTTTTCCACCATCTCTCAGCAACGTGTCAGGTCCAGTTTAGCACTTGAGGGCAGAACGTGTCAGAATCACAGCCCCCTCTCTCTCCAGGCTGTCTCGAACCCAAGGTGAGTCAGGCCTTGTCACCACTCCTATAAAGACATAACCCATCACATGGCGCTGGTAGATGGCCAGTAGTTAATAGCCCTGTTGTGATTCGCCAGGGAAAATACTCATCTGCTGAAGAGAGCAATCACTTAGAGCAAGGTTGGGGTTTTATGGGTTTAGAAGGGAGGTGGATGCTCAAATGTAAATCTGCAGAATCACAGCATGTCTGAGCTTTGGCACACACTAGGCGAATAAAATCTTAAATCGAAAGACAGCTTGTGGTGGAGATATGAGTTGAAATACAAGCACAGTTGAGGCTGTGAGCGCAAGGCACGAACATTTTGTGGAATGGCGAAACTTCAAGTTGAGAATCCACGGATCTGCACTGGTGACTTAGAGACAAATTCCTGCACAAGTCACTGACTTTGTGTTTGTGTGTCCTCTCTCTAGAAAGAGTTCCTGGCAGCTACAACTGAAAAGGACATCTTTGCCCATCTGGGTCTCGAGTACATCGAGCCTTGGCAGAGAAATGCGTAGGCCTCCGCTCCTCCTTGGCTGGATGATACCCTGTGCATACATCAGTGTTTATCCCATCTGCTTGCCATTATGTGGCTCTCCTGTGATTCACTTTCAAACTGCTTTTGATTTCCATACACTTTTGTGTTGTTGTTGTTGCCAATATTGTTGTTGTCTAGATTACATGACGACGTGTGATTCATAATTCTGCTTATTCACTATTGTCTGCCAGCAAATAAACATTCTCCTGTACCATTCACAGGCTCCTGTCTCTAAGTGTTGTAATCATAGGCAGGATAAAAAGACTAATCAGTCAGTATGAATCGCCTGGGGTGCCTGTGAAGTGCAGGAGAAAGGGAGCCTGAAACAAACAAGGCAGTAAAGGGGGTGACCACTGAGAAAAAGGGAGGGAGAGGAAGAAGACAGGAAACGATGAGAAAAGTGAGGGGGAAGGGAGCTCTTTGTCGAGCAAAATGTTGTAATCACCCTCCTCCTGGCAGGAAAGTGCTCAGTGTGAAGCTGAGCCAGGTCTTTGGGGGATTGAGAGGCGGGTAATGAGCTTCAGCTAGAGGAGCGTTCCGCGTCGCCATTTAGCCTCCATTTAAGCCTACGTCCACTGGAGATCATTTAGCTGGCATTCCCCTATCCAAAGACCAGTCGTCTCCTTTCTTTGTTCCCCGATGAATCCACTTCCCCAGATGCTTGGCTGAAATTAGAGGCAATCAGCTACAGTGGGAAATCAGGAAGAATTCAGAAGGAAGGTAAACGAGCTTGCTGAACACACAAATGGAGTTTGGCTGCCAAAGCGATTCTGTCTCCCGAGCATCCATTATCTTATTGCTTTGACTTTGCTTATGTTTTATGTATGGCGGTTGTTTATCAGGATTTGTGTCCTTTTTTCAGGACGGTGATCCTCTAATGAAGAACCTTTATTGATCCCCGCGGGCTGTTTGGGTACATCTGATTTGCTCCTTTAGTGATGACATGACCTGCCCTGCTGTTCATCCCCCAACCCACTTTCCTCTTGATGCTCAGCCTCCGGTTTATCCCAGGATGCTGCAACAAGAGCAGAGACAGATGAGAGCAAAGCATTCTAGTGAATCACCCTATTTAAAGATTTTTAAGTAGAACAGTCCGGCGCTTTGAGGACTTGACCCAGGCCTCCCCTTCTCCCACCTCTTTCTACTTTCTCCCTCTTGGCCTCTGTCTTTCTCTCCCGCTGAGCTGCTCTTTCAACCTTGCTGACACAAAACAAACTCTAAAGCTTCTGAGCTGCAGCGTTAACCAGATGGAACAGGCTCCCTGATCTCCAGGGTTATCTAATGTTTTCACTTTTAAAACGAAGGCGGATCCCCTCTGCCCCAAGCCCCACAGAAATCGTCTCTAAATTTCTCTAGAGTAAAATAAAAACCAAGCTGACCTCAATAAATGTACATTTGTTCAGCTCTCTTTTTCCTAATTGTTGTTCAAGTGCAAATTGGATCTTCTGCTACTTTCACATTAAAAATTCACAAGTGTAAAGGGATTAAAAGGCTATAGTTCTCAATTTAACAACAGCATTGTTGTTGTGCTCTCAGAAGATCTTAAACTGTTTGCAAAGCTGAAAAGCAAAGATTTGAGTACAGCGGGGTAATGCTGCGTGCTCCTATAAGAGTTAATTTTCTGTGGAGCAATACAAGGTCTGATCAAAAGTTTCTTAAAAAAATCAAAACCCATACCTGATTTAAATTTAAAAATCAGTTTTTCATTTCTTTGCACACATATGGACGACTTCCAGTGCTTCTGTTATATTTGAAGTGCTCCCTGGAAGTCTAATCACTTGTATGAGTTCACCTGCAACTTTGCAATGGTCCTAATCAAACAGCAGTTCCACAGTAAATGAAAGAGTCAGCAGTCATGTGATAAGAGCAGCATGAGCTAGTTGTTTTTTTTGACATGAACATTGATTTTGCACAGTAAATTTGTCCCCAGAAATCAGGCTACCTATTTTCTACCTGGAGCAAAACAGTTCACATATGGCCCGCATTGTGGAGAGCATCGTGTGTACCCTCTTACATTACTTTGACCTATCAAACATAAACAGTTTACCACCCAACCAGAAAGCATGCTTTGGTCCTCTGCGTCTTCTCTTCCTCCAAAATAAATAATCATGTCAACAACTTCCAGTTTCACACCTTCCACTGGGTAAAAAGTAGAAGCTGCTTTGGAAGATGTATGAGGAGACTACTTTGAAAACTAGCTCAACTAAACAGTTTTTGTTTAGTCTGGTTCTGCAGGAAGTTTCTTCCTGTTCAAAGGAGGTTTTTCCTTCCCACTGTTACCAAGTGGTTGCTCAGAGGGGGTCAATTGATTGTTAAGGTTTTCTCTGTATCATTGTAGCATCCTTACCTTGCAATATAAAGCACCTTGAGATGACTGTTGTTGTGATAAATATATAATATTATTATTATATATGAATACAACTGAACTGAACTGAATTGAAACTATGAGTGCCTAAGAATAGACTTATGGCTCAAGTATCAGTCCAGTCAGGTTATACATAATTTAAGTGCATAGTATGAATACACCATCCAGTCATAGGGTGAGAGGCAGGGTACACCCTGGCCAGGTTAACAATCTTTTGTAGGTCTAACACAGACAGACATAACATGACCGTCTATGCTCACCTTCACGCCCACAGCCAACCTAATCCCATGCATTCATTGGACTGCGGGAGGAAGTGAGAGTACCCGGAGAAAACTGAAGAAATACCCCATAGATGCCAGTTGTGTAGCATAAATGTTTCCCACCTGTCATGAGCACTTCACAGGTTGGGGTTTTGTAGTATGGAGTTTTACAATGGGGATGTTGTTTATATGATAAATCAGTAACAGTCTGCCCAGCTTGTTTGACAGTGTAAATGATCATTTCATTATCTGAAAAAATCCTGGCATTTATAGCTGAACCGCCACAGAATGAGCACAGCCAGGTGACTGACAGATTTTACTATAAACTCTGATATAAGGCAAATTTCTGACCAGTCCATGAATTGATTAAATATGGACAAGGATATATTAGCCATATTTAGGATGGTTAAAAGATTAGCTGAAGGAAACTATTACACACCACTGCACAAATTTAAAAAATGGAAAAATTCACAAAGTAACACAGGAGTGTTCTGACAGCTTGTATTAACTAGCTATTGTCCAAAGAGACTGATTTTGCAAAGGTCCAACCCTTAAACCTCAGATCTAGCTAATTTGTTTATTCATCACTTTCAGCCAATCACATGTGGCCATTTTCTATGCAAATTGTCGCCTTTGGCTCCTCGCTGTCTGGCAAACACTGCCTTTTTTTGCATGCTTGATGTCTGAGGTCTGACTGAGATGACAGATGTGTGAATAAATGAAAAATTGCTTGCCCGAATTTGCATAAAAGTGCTTGATTTGCTGACAAAAACGTATTTTGCCATCCAATCGGTTTTCATTTCTACCTATGCAATCATTTCCATTCCCCAGTTTTCTCTCGGTGACATTCCAGCTCCAAACACCTTCAATCATCTCCATCTGACACCCATTCTTTTAAGTTGAGCAGATCCATCACGGCACAGGAGCTTTGTATTGACATTTTGATGGTATATGCCAGCCGGGTCTCATTCATTTGCTGCATTGCAGCCCAACTCCTGACTTTAACTAGCATGTGCCTTGTAATACATTCATGGATGGATTACTGAATGGACTCTTCGAAAGAGACAAAGAACTAATTTCAACAGTGCAAAAACTATCAGCAAAGACACAAAATATTAGATGGGCAGGGAAAGTGCAAACAAAAGAAATGCATTGGAGCTATAAATGATCAAAAAGTTAGAAACACAAGCTTGTTTTTAAAGCCCTAATGCCATGTACAGTATGAGTGTAGGCCAAAACCCATTATAAATAAAAACGTCTGCAACTTTGAGTCTGGGTGTCTTCCTCCTAGTGGGCCTCCTTCTTATTCATGTCTCATAAGTCATCCATGGATACATTACAATGTAAATTGACATTGGGTCATTCTACAGCTCTACCAATTTGTCACTGCATATATGATGAGGTTGGCTGTGAGAGCTGATGATATTGCATAGATGGGGAGTGCTCAAAGATTAATGGGTGACTCTTTGAGGAGGACACATGTACCTGGGGGAACATCCATCAGCCATAAAGCTTCCCTGGGGATGGTCTTGAGATAGAATATGAAGTGCCACTCTCATCTCGGTTACATGACAAAAGGTCACGATGTGTAAGTGTGTGCACATCATGTGAATAATCATGTGGACACATTCCTCAGAGGTGAGAGCAAGCATCTGTGGATGAAATGCCAGAAACAAAAAGAAAGAGCTCTTTGATTATCGTCCACAGCGTTAATGCAGCAAAGAACATCAGTTTTCATCACAGTTTGAGCCACTGGCGCAGCTATCCTTTCATGCCAGGCATACAGCAACTGAAAATGAGAGGACCAAAATAGATCAGGACCAAACACTGATAACGTCTGAGCTGAGCTCCTTGAGCAAACTTTCTCTTGTATTGTATCAGAAGACAGTGATTTATTGGCTGTGCTGTAGGGGCTTGAATGCAAGTGTTAGGGCCAGTCAAAGCCAATGGGGGAAGGTGACAGAATAAGGACACTGTGTATCCTTGCCTCTCAAGGCCTGTCACAACGTCAAATCAGCCGATGCATGGCAGTGGCCGACTCTGAAACATTAAAAAAAAAAAGAAAGAGTGAGAAGAGAAGAGCACTGAGACATCTGCATTAAACAGACATTAGAAAGACTTTTAAAGGCCGCCATCATGATAAACATTTCTATTTTAAGCTAATACTGTCTGGCAAGATGACTGGTTCAAACTGGATTTGAATTTCTCCTGAGTTTCTGATGAAAATGAGCAATTTTAATTTGCTTTAGAAAAACAAATGAAATTGGAGACGTGGGTGATCAGCAGAGATGTTTACGCTGGATTCTTGGGGATAATTTCCTCGCAAAGGCATACCCTCCACTGGTGTCACAGTGACTTTCAGCCTCCTTCAGGCTTATAAAATCAAGAGTGATGCACAGAGAGCATGAGAAAAATCATGCACTCCCTCACAAGAAACTTTAATT